CTCTCTCCTCTCTCTCTCCTCTCTCTCTCTCTCTCCTCTCTCTCTCTCTCTCTCTCTCTCTCTCTCTCTCTCTCTCTCTCTCTCTCTCTCTCTCTCTCTCTCTCTCTCTCTCTCTCTCTCTCTCTCTCTCCTCTCTCTCTCTCTCTCTCTCTCTCTCTCTCTCTCTCTCTCACGTCCCTTAGAAATCCGGGGGGCTAAGTTTCCCCGTGCCGCCTCTTCCCAGTAACCGATACTCTTGTTCTTTGTATATACCATACTGCTTTCTCACGCATCCCTGAGTACGTGGTAATCTCGTTCTGCTTCTGCCAACGGTGAATAGCTGAATGCGTGAGGGAGGCAGCAGACTGAGCGAGTGCATGATCAGCTGACATTCGGTGACTTCTCTGTATAATGACATCCGTGGAGAATCATATCTCTTTCCTAGAGGAGTATGTTTTGGTGAGAATTTGATGCGCGCGTTTCATGACTACCTTCTTTTAGCGTGAGGCTAGATTATTACGAAATTATCATGTGATGTTATTCATGTGAAAACAGTTTGGCTAATTCAGTAGGGAATGGGAACCATAGATTTTGTAAGATCCAGCCATGTTCGAATAAGGCATGCATGCCGTCCAATGTTACATGATTCCGTCATTGTATATCGTATTCCAACGGGCAGTGTGCGACCGTGTTCAGACAAATGCCTCTTATAGGGGTAACCTCAGCTTTATTCAAACATCATGTGCCTGTGTTCCACGTATTGATTTCTAATAAAACTAGCGAACATACTTCAGTTCTTCCAACAAAACAATCAGGGGTGAACACTTTATTTTTTTCTTTGAGTTTCCGGTACCTCAGAATAAATTTATGGCCCCATGGTTGTCCCTCTGGAATATTTATTGCTAGAATGTTAGTAAATAAAGAATTGATAAATGTCATAAAACCCTACTTTCCTTGGAAATTATTTGGTGGCCATTTATTCTGTTGGAATAAGGGACTATATGATGAGAAATAATACATTGATAAGAAACAAAAATTGGGGTTCCTTAAACCGAAATCCACTATATCCTTTGAGAAACACGCGATTTAGTCAGGTTAAACTGTTGGGTCCTGTCAGGGGGGGGGGGGGTCGTAACCTAGTCGGAACTAGACCTGACATTCCCATGGTGACGTCACCATGGGAATGCCCCCAGGACATTTACGTGTTGAGGGCATCGCAATGCGTACTTTTTTAGTCATCGTTTTCGAATACTTTTGAGCCGTTCTCTCCCATGAAATAACTCTCAAGACGTTTATCAGTATGTCTCCTAGCCATATCCGGGGTTAAAACAGCTGCGGCTGGTCAAATATTCCAACACCAGCCCGCATCCCCGTACCATGTTTTACATTCAACAAGCGTGATTTTTTTGAACGTAGGAGATGATTGTTACCGTTACTGTCGCGGAACGTTTCTAACTGCGATCCAGATGCGGGCTACTTCAAACGGTGATGCGAATGAACGAGCGGTCAGCTAAATGCAAGGGAAATATTTGAGTGTGCAACCACTGAGAGGGCGGCAACGGTTACATTCAATGGAATGTAATGCGCCCGGGTGGCCGGTTGGATACCCTTCGTTCGGGGGCCAATCTGACCCCCCCCCCCCCCCCCATTGAGATCTCAGGAACTAACTGAGCTAGAGACATCAAATTCACAGGGTCTATTGACATGCACGTGATCTCATCTAAGTCAAAGTTTGATGTTCTTCACCCACGATCCGCCATCCCACTGTCTACAGTTTTGCAAAATTTGGCGCGGCTAGCCACGCCGTTCAGAAACCATTCCGGAAAAAAGCCTTTGGAGAAAGGGGGTGAATTTGACTCCCCATGCGAGCACGTATTAAGAGAGGCAGTAGGGGTGTTGCTGAGCAGAAGGGCCGGAAAGGCAGATGCAATCTGATTTCGCATGAGGTCGGCGACATGAATCGCTTTTGAGCACGTGCATGAACTCGGAACTGAAACTTTCCCTCAAAAGGTAAGAGTGCATAAGCCATTTTTTACCTGCTCCTTCTGTGCACCGTCGTAGCCATCCCTAACCTTAAGTTGCTTGCAATTTTGGGCCGGTGCAGTTTCGGTCCCCCAAATGTGCAGTATTGAGGTTACATCCGTGCAGACTTAAATGCAAGTAAAAAAGACATCCGGACTTCTGCAAGTTATTCTAAAAAGAAATTGTCATGTTACAGGCTTACATTACGAACAGGGACAACATGGATTCTCCATTAAAGTTTTGATGGTTTCCATAGGGACAACACGAAATTTTCAGGGAGGTCGAAGACCAATCCCGAGCTGTAATCTTCTCAACCCCCCGCCCCTCCCGCGCCCCTGACCTTCAAAAGCCAAGAATTAATGAAAATTGGGCCTGAATATATTGCAACTTTGCAGGTAACTTGTAATGTAGATGATCCTGGCACAGTAAGGCCTTACAAAGTTGGTTTGATGTGTCAAACATGGCTACTTGCACATCTAAAGGCAAAACCTAAGTGTTGAACTGAAGCATTCTGTGCGATTTCTTCCATATCTGCTGGTAGGCCGAGACGGACTTGAGATTTGAGTGTGCAGGGCAGGACATCACCTGCCAAAGTATAAAAATGAGAAAGAAATTACAGCTCTAGTGGGCATGCCATGCCAACTGGCTCCACAGAACCTAGCAGGATTTAGGGACAGGACAATTTATCCATGTATCATGCAGTACTAATAGTTACAGCCAGTCATTTTCCAACAGCATAAGGGGTTGCCTGTGTGAAGCACCTGTGCCAACCTTCGCCTGTGCCCTAAATGGCATGCGTTAGATATATCTCTGCAATTACACCAGTACTAGAAACATAAGAGCATCTTCATCATGCGTGTGCTGGGACACACTTGACGTCAGTAACTATAAAGGCATGTCTAGCACTGACTGGCATTTGGTAGGAGTGCAGTTTCCTTTTGAGTCAGGGACTCCAGTCCCCCGAAATATTTGGCCTGCAGCCTGACTTTGAGATCAGTTATCCAAATCCAGGAAGAAACAAACCTGTTCGTTGGTGTCTTTTGAGGGGTGGGTTACACCATTTCCATCTGCTCAGTTCGCTGGGGCTGAGTGGAGTGACTTGAGATGAGCATGAATTGAAGGCCCCAACTCATTTGGCATCCTTGACCACTTACCACTGGTGCAGCACTCAATATGGTAACATTATTATTATCGTCATAATAATTAGGAACCATTATGGCTGCATGCCTATGGTTGTATTCTTAACATTAAAACATGGCAGGTGACAACCTGAATACAACCAGTGCATGGCTTGATGCTGGGAGCTCATGGTATGTTTCACCTTATTATGTCTGAAATTGTATTATTGATATGAAATTGCACGTGCACGTCCTGATCACAATGTCTATAAACAAATACACCTAAATGGACACACAGGTAGACCTTCCATGACAGATTTGAATGTAACACCGGTGCAGGGTTCAAAATTAGAGGTTTGATTTAGTTGTTGGCTACTTCAGGACGAAATTTAGGGAACATGATTACATAAACGTCAGGATAGTGTCATTGAAGTTACTGTTACGAAACTGTTCACCGGGATTGCCGAGCAATGAACGGTGGAAAATGCCTGTGCTGCCCTGCATATGGCCAGCAGAACCAGGGGGCTGTCATCCGTATCGTTTAACACTATCAAAAAGTGGCAACATCGAGCTTGCGTGAGAATACAGGTTGTTTGGCAGCAAAGCCTGCATGACGTCAAGTATACCATATTTGATGACGTCAGTGGCACGGAAGCCTCTCAGTTAGCCAGCTGACCGCTACACAACCCATTAGTTTGAATGGTGAGTATGTTTTGGGGGCGTGCGGCTGGCGCTTCTCGATTGGACTCTGAATGAGTGGTCCACGGTTTTTTCATGCAAACACAATTCTAGAAGGGAGATTGAATCTCGGAATAGTTTGACCTCACCAGAATTTTACTTTCTTCCGTGGGGTGTACACAACTAGGGGTTAAACGTCATGTGGCGTTTGTAGCGCATCGCGTATCGCAGTCGCTTGGCGCTTTATATCAGTGGGTTGTGGCCAGTTGCCATGACTTCGCCTCGTACGAGAGATCTCCTGAGCAGTTTGTCTTGAACAATTGGTAGCATTTAAAATGCTCGGTCTATGAACATTTTATTATGCATATGCGTACAAGCCCCGATGTAAAGAAACACTTGGCAGTAGCATCATAAGGACAATATCATAGGGTTTTCTGTACTTACCTTACTGCACTCACATCGCTGTGATAAGAAGAGTGGGAGCTGCTATACATCATTATTGCAAATGTTCATATCATCATGCCTATAGGCAAAGTAAATCATGCAAGCTGAACTGTTCAACTCTGCCGCCAGGCACAAACGGCACAGACAAGCCTAAGGCTATCTAACGACAAGCCTGGTCATGGAATGCAATACGCCACAAACGCCGCATGACATGTAACCCCGTATTATATCATCATACGTGCAAAAGTCGTACATTCTGATGAGGCTTAACTGTTCCATGACTCACTGTTCATTCCAGAAATGTGTGCGAATAGCGAAATGACGGATAATTTCTTCTCAGTCCAACGGGGAACCGCCAGCCGCACGCCACCCAAACATGCTCACTATTCAAACTAATGGGTTGTGTAACAGTCAGCTGGCTAACTAAAGGCCTCCGTGCCACTGGATTCTATTACTGGATACTATTCAGTTCAAAACTCGGTGTAAATGTGGGACAAAAGGCATGAAATCCCTTTAAGTACTTCATACGTAACAAATGATCCAATATTCCTAGAATTGCAAGAATTATTTCCGATGTGCTGCGGGTCATGCAGCTCTCGAAACGCTTGAAACGTACGAAAGTATTTGCGCGGCAAGCTTTCGCAAAAACTAATAATTATTTATGATGTAAATTTATAACCACACAACGAATCTGAATGTACAAAAGCAAAGCTTCATCAGTCTGGCAAATGTATTACAAAAAAACAATCGATACACCACTGCATGTTTCCATCTCATGGCCTACGGAATGACAGAAGTATTCCAGGTAGGCGTACTAGGCACACCCTTGAGAACAGCAGAGAGCGCCCTATAGCATGAAGTAACTGAGTACTACGCCAGCGAAGTGCTCCCAGATCGAAGGCACCCGGTGCTCGCAGACCGCCTAGCCGCACGACGGGAAGGTGGACATATTGGAGGTGGAGCAGAAATAGATGATGCTGACTGTGGTGGCTGTGTTGATGGTCTTGGTGGAGAGCGTGGCCGTAGTGGTAGACGTGGTGAAGATGGTAAGCAGTAGCTTGTCCTTGTCAGCGGGCGTCGGGGCGTGCTCCTCCCGCGGCAGGCCGTGCTCGCCCAGGGAGGAAAGCAGCTCTTCGCGCGTGGCCGGATGCAGATGACCGTCCAGTTCGGGAGATCTGCCGGCGGATGACCGAGCTGGGGTCAGCACGAGCTCTGAGCGCGCGCCGTTCCAGCTGCTGTCCGATTCGCCAGTGCTGCGGCAGCTGCTGCCCGGCTGCTCGGAACCTGGAGCGCCTGCAGCGGCGGTCAAGCGGCGAATAATGTTTATGTCTTGACTCGAGCCCGTTGAGAGGCGTGTCGTCGTCCATGTCGCCGATCGTTGTCACGCTCATTACTTCTGCAAAGAGGGTCACTCGACGACCCGTCACGGCATGAGAGCCTTCAGTTCCTACTCGGAGCGGTTTTCATGATAAGATTTTCCACACACAACACAATACTGAACATTCCATAGGAAAAGATATTTATCGTCCGAATCGCAACAAAGGACAAGTTTCCATCGGAGCTTTTGTTATTCTGACATCATTTGCTGCAACACAAAAGCAAGCTCTAGCAACTGCTTGCTTTGAGTTGGAAGAATGACTACTTGATGGCATGTTTAATGTATGAATGGTGAACTAGAGAGGGAGGAGCACAAAAATAACCCCAACAATTCGATAACATTCAGCATCAGCTGTATGGCGATGCGTAGAAAGCAACGCCCAAAAGCCGATCTTGCCCCCATATCCAGACAAGTTTCACTAATTCCCACTTCGCCGCTGCCCATGCGTGATACGGACTGGTAAGGCAACACAGCATTGCTTCTCTGCTGGGTTAACACGCGCTCGGGTGAGGGGGGGGGCAAATTGACCCCCAAGGCTTTTCCAGAATGGTTTATGAACGATGCGGCGTAGCCACGCAAAATGCTGCATAGCTGTAGACAATAGAATAGCGGATCGTTTGACATGAAAAAATTGGATGTACCTTATAAGATCGCTGACCTATGGCAGGTCAAAGTCATGCTATGATTCCAGCAAAGGCAATTTCTAGGGAATCCTGCAATCTGATCCAACAACGGAGTGTTAGACGAAGCAATACATCTCTGAGATGCTTTCTTAGGCAACACAAAAGTTGAATGAGCAACTAAAATTGACCTAAGGTCAGGTATGAAGGTAACACCAAGGTCAAAACCAACCTGTTTTGTTACTTTAGGGCTTGCTGTATGGGGTGGTTTCTGGTGCTCACTTCGAATTTATTGATAACAGGACTCGCATTACACATCATCTATGGGCTTCTCAGAGGTCAGAATAGGTCATTGGCCTAAAATGACCAATGTCAGCATTTTGTTTTAGGAACATACTGTCTAGCGTAATTTTTGTCGCTTAGTCAAATGCAAAACCCAAGGCAATCTTGTATGATTTAGGTCGTATTGACCCTCAAAATGTCAAAAAAGGTCACTGACCTTAAGTGAGCATGTGACCTTTTGCTTAGAGACGGTTATCTAGGTTCTGGGGGCACTTTGGGGACCAACCTGGAACTTGGCATTGTTTGACCTTTTTGACCCAAAGACTATGACCTAGGAATCTGAAACTTTGACGTAATTGAGTTTACGTACAGGTCAACACACCCTATAAATTTGGTGTCTCTAGCTTTCTTAGTTCCCGAGATCTTTGGGGCAAATTGCCCCCCCCCCCCACCCCACCCCCACCCGAGCGAAAAGTATCTAGCCGGCCACCCGGGCGCGTGTTAAGCTTCCTTGCAGGAGGTAAGGAGAGAACCACTCCTGGTCACTAGTGTTAAGCGTAGAACGGCTCGTTCCCCAGCACTTTGTGATTGTGACCGAGAACCCCTGTATGCTTATAGATGATATATGATATGCGTATATGTATGTATATATGATATGTATGCATGAAAACGTATGGTGGAGTCGAGTTTAAAGCAACTGAATAATCAGTACATTGGGAACGGAAGAATCTTCAAACGTACAGAATAACTTAACACCGTATCCGTATGGTATGCCGCTTTATACCAGTGACATCTCATGGGATGCTGAACCGACAGAGGACAGCGAAAAGACATCGCACGAGCGGTATTGAAAATCGCGTGAGCTACGAAAGGTCTAAACGAATCGCGTCAGAAATCGCTAGAAAAAGCAGGCGTTGTCCATAAATTCTACAGTGCACAGCTTCTTATCGTGTATGTGAAATCGCCGGCGGAACGCGTCAGCCGCTCCGCATGGTGGAGTGGGGCGGCGTCGAGTGCACTGCCGTCGAGCAGCCAGGCCTCCGATGACGCAAACCACAGTACCAGGTCGTCCGTTGTCGCGCTCGTGACGTGAAAACATGGGATGCGGCGAGAATGATGTGGCAACACGTGTGACCTACGATGGCCCCGGGAGGATTTCGTGTCTGGCCTGGCTCCTCCGCTTCCTACGTCCGCCGCACTGGAACGTCGTGCTGAATGCTGAAACAGACCGCCGAGGGGTGACCACAGGAACTAGCTGAACTGAGCCCTGAAATGCATGATACTTGCTGACTATCAGTCCTCTGGACGTACAGGCAACTGGTTGAGGGCGATTGCGCCAGCGCAAAAAGCGCAACATCGTCCGCGGCTATGTGAATGCAAAGAGCATTCCTGGGCCCGTCTCACTCAGTCATCCACCGCTGGGAGCATACCATAAACGGTAATTTCCCTCATGCAAATAACTGGTCGTAAAACCATTTAGGCACTGACCATTTCTTCCTGGCGCGAGCAGAGCTGTGCCCTTTGCAGGCATAATGCATTACTGGAATAATCGGGAGGGAGTGGGGAAATGGGAAATCGGGAATGACACTGCAGAAACAAAAGAAGAGCTTGATTGGCCAAATTAATTTTGTTATTTTGCGCCTCATTAGGTGGACAGAGTATGCCTTTGGGGTTTGGAACCGGAACACAAAATGAGACACCAAGCCAAGCCTCCCAAAAGACCCAAAACGCCGCACGTGATTCTTGCTACGCCGGCGACGCCATGCTGCCGCGGCGCCGCCCAGGCGCGCGCCCCTGCACGCCGCCGCACGCACTGCTGAAGCAGGTGAAGAAGTCGGTGGCCGTGGTGCTGGTGACGATGGAGGTGCGCAGCACCGTCGAGTACACGCCGGCGAAGAGGCGCGGTTCGGCCGGTGGCTGGACGAGGCCCGCTGGCCGCGGCGCCGGCTCGCCGCGCGCTGCGGGCAGAGAGCAGCGCTGCGGAGCAGCCGGCCGCGCAGCCCCGGGTCCACCGCGCGCGCAGGGAGAGCGGCGTACCCCGCTGCCCGTCGCCTGGCTGCTCACGAGTCCGCGGGGGTCGGACGCGTTGTGCTCGGGATAGGCGTTATTGTGGAGCATAAGTTGTGCGGAAGTTGTGCCGTTGCAGCGGGAGACGAGCAAACATGATTTAGTCTATTATACGCTTGGGGGTCTGGAATTTACGCCAAAGAAATTACGGGTGACACACCATGAAATGATCATGATTATGAATCAGTGGACATTGGCCCTTAATGAATATAAACTTTGGAGCCTTCTTATGTAAATGTTGCTTCTACCAGCCCGAATATCAGGCCACCTGTAATCAGGGCGAAGCAGAGGATGAAGACTTAGTTTTGTAGCAAGTGCACACTGACCTGGTATGGTAGAAAAGCACAGCCCGACAAAAATCAGCAACGTTCCTCCGCGAGTCATCTGAAGAGTAAAAGAGGTTAAAGAACAATGCATTGCTGGGGATGAATCTGCAGTCGATCTAATGTGTGTAACGCTTTGTGCCATCTATGGTGCATGCAGTCGGTATTTATAAATCCGTGCAGTCGTCTACGTTAACCCGCCGTTTACCCTCTTCCACAAGAGCTTCGAACCGAATACTGTGCTATTTCAGTAAACCTACGAACATACACCCACGATGTATCAGCAACATTCTACATGCAATACACCCTCGGTGGGTTTGCATCAAAGGTGCTGGTTCATGCTATAGTGCCGACATATCCGTGGTGTTAGATCAGTTAGTTCCTGTCAAATGTCTTGCATGAACTAATCAACCATCGCGACAACCGCCCGATGTTTGCTGCGGCACTGGCACCACTGCATTGGACCGGTGATGCCAGGATCTTTAGTCGGCAGCCGACTGACGCTTGCTTCGGTGCTGGTACCACTGCCTTGGACCGGTGATGCCGGGATCCCAAGTCGGCAGCCGACTGACGCTTGCTTCGGTGCTGGTACCATTGCCTTGGACCGGTGATGCCAGGATCCCAAGTCGGCAGCCGACTGACGCTTGCTGCGGCACCGGTATCATTGCCTTGGACCGGTAATGCCGGGACCTCTAGCCGGCAGCCGACTGACGCTTGCCAGGGCACTGGTATCACTGCCTTGGACCGGTGGTACCGGACATATAGCCAACAGCCGACTGCGTGTTGGCTTCTTCGCAGAATCAGTCAGCAGGTACGCGTCCCGTCGGTCGCTGCTGCCTTTGTAGCAATTGTAGCGTTGGCAGCGACTGCTGCGATCATTCGCCCCGATGGGAGGCAAGCTGCATTTTTGAGATTACTTTGTGGGGTGGAGGTTCAAGCGTTTGATGTCATGGTGCCGACAGCCGGCATTGCGCAGCAGCGACGCACTAATGCGGTACATAGGCTGACAATGCCGCCACTTGGTCGACATGACGAGACATAGACATGCGCACACTGATCATAATGAATGTTGGTGCTAATGGCGACAACAGCCAACCATTGCTGGTCATGAGTCAGCACGCGTGTGTCTAGGCTGATGACGAAATGATCAAGTCCGGGTTTTAGGATTTTTCACCTTTAAAGCAGAGCCATTGAAGTTGGATCACAGATAATCGAAAAATACATGAAGGCCTTCAAACATACAGATTGGCACGCATTGGAGTTTTTCTTGCCGATGCTCCTGGAGTCAGCGACACGCAGAGTGCCGAAACGGATTAGTACCGACAAACCTTAGTGTAGAAAAGAGTCAGTGCACCACAGAGCAGCACTGCACTGTCGCTGTTTGCCCCTGAAAGCGGACTGAAACCGGCCCAATACGACTGGGTGCGCTGTGAGGCGGGGCTTGAGTTTTTACCGGACTTTTTGCCATCTAGCGGGTTGCTTTGAATGGCATATCTATTGAATGGCAGCCAACAGCTAAATTTGTGAACAGAAGCTAGGGCGACATATTTGGTTACAGTCTTCTCGGATATTTCGGTTGCTTGGGTCTCTCGGCAATGCAGATTATTTGCTTTGTTCAGCGAAACGCACAGTAGTTGTGATTTCTGGCAAAACAGCTACAAATGCGGTAGTCATGAGTGGATTTTGCGGCTAACAGGTTTCGTGGAGTCCATACAAGCTTTCACTGAAATCGGCACTGCCTTTACTCTTTGAAACTGAAGAGTCATCGGTCGGACGTTTTGCCTTTCCAACTTTTGCCAGCGATCTTTACTCCCTACCCTTGGTGGCAAACAAATACGAAAACTGTCGAACTCAGGAGCAGAAAGATATTTTAGTGGAATAGCCGTCATGAATATATCTTTCGACCGGGCCCATAGTGCGTCGATTTGTCTGTGTTGGCATTTTGACCATTATTCTTATAATTTGTGTGTGCCTTTTGTATGAGCCTTTACACACCGCACCTGCATGACCTAAAACCGTGACAACCTTCATGCGGATAGTTTCCAATATATTGATACTGACTTCGGCAACCAATCTTAAGTTCCATTAGTGTATGTTTTTATGTGACGTAGAGGGTTCATGGTCTTCTGTTTGGGATTCAGTGCATGTTGTGTCAATTGGTGTCAAACTTGGCCAATGGTGATTGTGTGAGGTGATTGTGTGTGTCGTCCAGCACAAAGGTCAGCGAACATAAATTTCAAATATCCAGGAGGCGAAACTTTTTTTCTGGTGGGGATCCGCCGGCCCTAGATTCACACAGGGATGCCCCCCCCCCCCCCCCAACACACACGCACCTTCCCTCTCTCCAACGACGCTAGGTCCTCTGTCGGAGTCGCGTTATTTGTGGTTCCGTCGAAGCAGTGGCTTAGGTTCGCTTTCCAGAGGGCGTGCGCATACATTTTGATTGCATTGCTTGCATTACATGGCATGCTTTTTCGTTTCACATTCACGTTATTAAGTCCGCATTGGACTGATAGTTCATGATGTTTGAATTTGAGGGAAAATGATGGGGAGTGCAGGTCGTCGAATGTTACGGCGGGTGATATTGGTGCCTACGACCAAAATGCCGATTTGTTTATGGCCGGATCTGATCACATCCGCGCCAAACATCAGTAAAAATGCAAGCGTTGCTAATGTTCGATAATTGTAGTGTGACTACGCGTCGAAAAACCTACTAGCAGTAAGCCTTTCGATAACCACCAGCCAGACCAATCATCTTGCTGCTTGCTGTCCCATGGGGGAATATTTAGTTGGACAAAATGCTTAGGTGTGCCCCTTGCTTGTTACGAAAACTTGCATTCTTTCTCAGGTGTCTTAAATTCGACGTATTGCTATTGGTCGGTACCACATTTTGGCCAAGAGCCTTGAAAATATTTTCGTCGATTTTGTCTTGTGGCTCGCACAAGATAGCTCTCTTGTCATGGCGTTTCGGAAACAACACCGACCTCTTCAATACTCAGTTGCGTACTGGAGCAACATGACCATTTTAAAAGCTTTGGTCAGTTCGTGCGTGCATTATTGCCGCACGGCTTACGTTAGCGTCTCAGGCAGAACGTTACTGCTGTTTGGAGAGCAATAAACGTTTGCTGTTTGTGTCATGTGGAAAGTCAAAAATCGTATTCAGCGTCTGAAGATGCACTACAAGAAAATGTGCGTGATGGGGCACGTGACTGATTGAATTTTTCAAGCCAATCTTTGAGAGCTCTGAATTTTTTTAAGTTCGGAGACAGCATCGAGGACAGATCAAAAGCGTAATATGAATAACCTGTGGTAGCGCGCTCCTTAGATGTCGTCACACAGGGCTTATACCTTATGCGTGCATTGCGATCAGAGACACTGGTCGCAGATTAGGTGTTTGTTTTTTGGTATTTTAAGCTCACGAAAGATTTTTGCGCTACGCAGAGTAGTGCATTGCGGCCATGGACGCCCTCTGACATAATCAAGCGGTCCAGATATCTGTGCTGTGCGATGACTGGTGCATACAGCAGCATTTTCCCAAATACGAGGCTAAAAACACTGTTCGCAGCTTGGGACTAGAAGCGTGAGAGTTCGGGCGTTAACTGTCCGATATTTGACAAGTGTCAGATTTCTGCTCTGGACATTGTTAGGGTACATGATTAATGCTGCAGTCCCAACGTTGTGCGGGCGCGTGTGCCTCGAACAAACCAACGTGATTTCAGACATTCAGTTTCTCCTAGCCAAATGTTACTACCAGCAAAGGGATCCAGGTAGTCGTGAATCACCGATTTCGTCAAACGAAAGTTGTTAGGCGATAGCCATCGGTCCCGTGGGTCAGTTCTGTTGGGACTGGGTTCATTTTCATCTCGCTGTCATTCACTGGAGCGAAATCTCTCGACTAACTAGGAAAATCAGCCCGTATGACGCAACCCAGTTCATGAGGTGCCCTCGCCACTTAGGAAATAGCACCGATTTGGGATAGGAGACTGATGATACGCTGACCTGCACTGCGTTGCTGTAAATTTGCATCTGCCTAACTGATCTATTTCATATAAGATATGCTGAAAACGCGCAATACGTCTGCGTATTCTCCCGTGCCATTAAGGAGATTCCTCTGCGGTGTATGTCCGAACAAGTGTGCAGACCCGTCCGTCAGACAAGTGTGTAGACCCGTCCGTCAAATCACCTTGCCTGTAATGGTCCAATAAATCCCGCCGACTTTCCGAACACGCATTACGCTCAGAAGTTACGCCTTTCGAGCGCACCTGTGAACTGCTGCAGTGCTGAACACGCTGACGATGAGTAAGCGGGACCTGGTCTGCACCTGCTCGGCAGGTGTGTGCCTGTCTATTGCACTTGACGCTCGGCAGGTGTGTGCCTGTCTACTGCACTTGACGCTTGGCTTGGCAAGTGAGTCGCCCGCCCTTCGCGACGGGCGCCGCCAGCTTTCGTGCGGCACGCAGAACGCCAGTCGTACGGTCGGTTCTGTTGGCTCCAGTTGTACAACACTGCAATCAGTACTGCAGTGTTGCGGTAGTTTTCCGACCGCTTTGAGCACATACTGCAGTTGGGCAGCCTCATTGGCATCAATCAAACTTGGAGGCTCAAGCTGACAGCAGTGTGGTAAGATCGTTTGTAACCTCGCCTGTGTCAATATTCTGCCACAAGGGAACAAAACTCTCGTTTATCGAGCTGTCTTGGTAAAGCATTGCTGATTTCCGTGAAGTTGATCGGCCCGAACGAACAGAGTAACCTGAAGGCAGCATGAAAACTTCCAACTTGAAAACGAACCATGCTCATGCATACGTGTTTGCTATCTTACCCAATTAGCTTGAAAATATATGAACAGTAATGTGGACCGGAATGAAGCAAACGGTTTCCTTCAAAGTTGGAGCGAGTGGGGTTTGAAATCGGTAAAGGCGGTGGTAGGAGTGCGGATAATTTTTGTTTTTAAACGTGGGATATGATTGGACAGGATCTTCGAGCTTCATTGCAGGGCAAGTTTTATTGATACGCCGGCGAATGTGAATGATGCTATATTTTACCTTTAGAGTCATGCATATGTGTTGCATTATGTCGAAACTTCCTCTTCCTTGGCCATAACGTGACATGACCTTGCCTCATTTCGATCCTTACCGCCGTCTTTAATGACTCTTTGCAATATAATGTTATGCTTAAATTTTGACTGGAAGCATTTGGAGCTCAGCAACTTCAAAGTCTAGTATAACGATGTTTGTCCGGAATTATATTTACTACAGCCTAACTCGCAACAAATCTGACGCAGCTGCCTCAAAGTGTTCTCGGCACGTCACACAATATGTGAGAGAACCAGCCAATTGGGTTTCGCGCTCAACATCGCGTGGCCAGCTGCGCATAAAAACGCATATATTTGAAAGTGCGATTACCTGTCCTTGTTTCAGGAGCGTTGTTTTTAGTCCCGTGCGGCAACGACCCCCGGCTGTCCAGTGCCGCTCATACCCCAGTTCGTGCCTGGATGTCCGCCGTGCAGAGCACCTTCGGTACAAACGTAGGGGGGAGGGGGGGGGTCAAGAGCTATTATGGCAGGGAGGGCTTTTGAGCCTCCCCTACCGAAATTTTTGATAGCCTCTGGGCATCTATTGCGGGTGTCTTCACTCCAAAACAGTCGGTGCCGATAGTGTAGTGGTTCACTTGCCTGCGTTAACCACTACGTGTCGAAAAAACAGATGTGCGGGGTTCGAATCCCCGCGATGCTTCGAACCCCCGCGAATCCCCTGCCCTTTCTGCCAGGATGAGAGGCAGGCAACGCCATAAAGCTTCAGCAGCTGAGTGTGTGTGTGAAAGCCCCGATGATGACGATGGCATGCTTAGCATTTAAGGTTCCTGAGAAGCGAGGGTTTTTAGGAACACTGTACGGCGGTCTACTCCGGTGCGGGCGGCGGCCAGCAACTGACAATTCCCTGACTTGCGCTGCGGGCCGACCACTGTGCCATCGACGGAACCCTGCATCATAAACGCGTGCTCAAGACAAGGAAAATTGCATACCATGGTACT